TGTTTAGTCTTTCTGGTGGCATGTTCAAAATAATTATAAACCATACACATAAAACAGGAAAACACTTAACTCATTATGGAAATCATGTCCTCACCATATCATTCTAGGATTAAAGACTAAGCTTCTACCAAGGGTTGTCTATCATGCTGTTATGTTTTATATATCTTATTTATTATTTTTATTTTATGTGTATGAGTGTATGGCCTGCATGTGCACCTGTGTCATGCAGTGCCTACAGAGGTCAGAAGAGGGTGTGAGCCCCTGGAACTGGAATTATAGACGGTTATTAGCTGACATGTAGGTTCTGGGAATTGAACCCAGTTCCTCTACAAGAGCAGCCAGTGCTCTTAGCTGCTGAACCGTCTTTCCAGCCCCTATCATACTATCATTTTTAACGTCCTTTCTTAAACCTTTTGAAACTTTTTAACAGTGCTTCTCAGTATGAACCACAATTTCTCAAATTTCATAATAAAACATGCAGGTTCTTCCTTTCCTTTTGATTCTTTTTTTTTTTTTTTTTTTGAGACAGGGTCTCCCTGTAGCCCCAGCTGGCCTAGAACTCGCTATATAGACCAGGTTGGCCTTAAACTCACAGAGATCCACCTACCTCTGCCTTCTGAGTACTGGGACTAAAGGTGTGTGCTGAGCTTTTCCTTTTGATTCTTGTAGTCAGAAGTGAGACTGTACATTTTTACATTTTTATACATTATCCATTATCAAGATTTAGAATTTTTTAAATTGGAAGGAGAAAATTTCTAGCAGCCATCTAAATAAAACTGAATATAGGATAGTGTTTGATAATTGGGGGCTTGTTTTGTTTATTTGAAACAGTCTTACTATATAGTCCTTTATCATTGATTTATTTCTTCTTTAGACAGTAAAAGTGTATAGGCCTTGCCTAAATGGCACTCAAAGATAAGGGGGAAAAAAGCCTTACGGGACTGGAGAGAATGCTCAGTGGTTAAGAGTACTGGCAACTCTTGGCAGAGGATCCAGGTTCGATTCACAGCACCCACAATAGCTAACAACCATCTATAATTTCAGTTCCAGGACCTGACACCTGCTTCTGGCCTCTGTAGTTATTGCACACATGTGATGCACTTACATACATGCACTCAAAACACTCATACATATAAACTAAACTAAATCTCTCTCCCCCTCTCTCTTTCTTTCTCTCTCTCACACACACACACATACACGCGCATGCAAGTTGCAGGGAATCTTTTCTCTCTGACTTTAATTTTTTGCCATTCATCTCTTAAGAATTTTCCCTCTTTGGAATTGCTCTCCAATAAACCTTTTCAGTCATCCTGTTTCCAGTCATTGGATATACTCATGTAGTTACTGAAAAAGTCACAGTCCAGGCAAAGAATATGATGGCCTGGCTGAGGATGTATTTGAGCTAGAGAATACTTACGTAACATGAACAAGACCCTGTCTGTGTTTCTTCCCAGTATTGTAAAGAAAAAACAGGACAGCCTGAAATCTAGTAGTGGGATGTGCTTAATCAGCTTTAGGTCTGTAAACCTTTGAAAGCATTGAGAGGTACGAATGTGCTTCAGAAATATGCTAAGCTCACAGAAAGTTTAGTATTTTTGTAGACTGTATCCACTCACATTTAATGTAGATCTAGAAAAATAGAAGACGAATTATTAGTTAGCTACTTTATATTCTACAGCTCAGATGACTGGCATTAACACAGTCTCTGTTTTTCATCTTCATGGTAGATCCCACTCTGTTCTCTTTATAGGTGTGTTAGGAGACCATATGAACATTTCAGCTAAGCACTTTGTAGAACAAATTCTATTTAAAGTAGAAAGTATATAGTTCGTTTATTGAAATTTTGCCTGAAATTGGTGTTCCCCTACCTGGTTTTTAGAATGTTTTTTATTATATACTGATGGTTTAAAAGCTCCTACATGTGTTTGTGTGTGTGTATGTGTGTGTGTAAGTAGCAATGATCTATTTTGAGCTGCTTTAATTTGTTTTAATGGTTATACTTCTGAAGTTACTGTAGGCGCTTACAAACATAGATTAGGAATCCAGAACAGAAAATTTTTTCTTTTTAGAATATATAATACTTAAAGAATGTTTGTTTGGAATGAAGGAGTGCTTATAGTTGCAATGGGACAGTACAACGTAGAATTAAAGGTAATTGTTAGATAGTTTCAGAAAAATTCCCAATAGCAGTTTGTATAAATGGTGGTAGTCTTTCTAAATCACATTAAGATCAATCCAAACCATCCAAGTGAGTAGCAGTATGCAGTAGCTAGTGTCTTTTGGTGATATTTGATGGCAGTAAAAAACAGAAAAAGGGGCTGGAGAGATGGCTCAGCAATTAAGAGCACTGGCTGCTCTTGCAGAGGACCTGTGTTTGATTCCCAGCACCTACATGGTGGCTAACAACTGTCCATAACTCCAGTTCCAGGGGATCCGATACTTTCTACTGACCTCAGTGGGCACTGCACAACATGGCTGCACTTGCGTACATGTAAGCAATATACTCATACACAGAAAAAAATAAAAATAATAAAGTCTCTTAAAAAAAACTTTAAAAAAAAAAAACAAAGATGATCTTCCTAGCATTGTGAAAATTTTTAAAAATTTTATGTCTGTGAGGGTTTTGCTTGTGTGTGTTTTATACCATGTGTGTGCCTGGTGCCTGCAGAGGTCAGAGGATGGTGTCAGTTCCCACTAGAACTGTTATGAGCTGCCATGTGAGTGCTGGGAACCAAACCCAGGTCCTTTGCAAGAATAGCAAGTGGTCTTAACTGCTGAGCCATCTCTTCAGTCCTCAGCATTTTCTTAATGGAGTCTGTATTTCTTGTGGGTTTGTGTTGTTGTTAGTGTTGTTTTAGTACTGAAAATCAAATCTAGGATTGTATACATATTAGTGTTAAGCACATCCATTACTATTGAGCTGCATTTCCAGTTTTTTTCTTGTCTTTTTGAGACAGGGTATCCCTGTAGCCCCAGCTGGCCTGGAACTCTCAGATCTGCCTACCTCTTGCCTCCCAAGGGCTGGGACTAAAGGCTGGCGCCATCATGCTGGCTCAGCTGGTTTGCTTTTGAGAGAGAGAGAGAGAGAGAGAGAGAGAGAGAGAGAGAGAGAGAGAGAGAGAGAGATAGATTGGTAAATAGGTAAAATAAAAATAAAAAGTCTAAGACCAGGGCAGTGTTAACATTTACCTCACACCGAATTCCATTAAAATTTTGTATATATTTCAGTTGGGCATGGTGGCATACACCTTTAAACCTAGCACTTGGGTGGTAGAGGCAGGTGGATCTTTGTGAGTTCGAGGCCAGCCTGGTCTACATAGTGAGTTCCAGGACACCTGGGGCTACAGGGAGACCCTGTCTAAAAAAAAAAAAAATTTTTTTTTTTAAAGTTATGTATGTGGGCTGGTGAAATGGCTCAATGGTTAAGAGCACTGGCTGCTCTTGTTGCAGATGACCTAGGTTTGATTCCCAGCACCCACATGACGGCTAACAACTATCCATTACTCCAGTTCCAGGGGATCTGACGCCCTCTTCTGACCTACCCAGGCATCGCACGCACGAGTATGCTTACATACATGCAGGCAATACACTTGTACACACAAAAACAATTTTAAAGCCAGGCGTGGATGTGTGTGTCTGTGTACATGAGTGCACTGTCCACAGAGACCAGTAGGGAGTGTTAGATGCTCTGGAGCTGGAGTTACAGGCAGTTGTGAGCTACCTGATATAGGTGCTGGAAGTAGAACTCAGGTTCTCTGGAAGAACAGTACGTGTTCTTAACATCTGAGCCATCTCTCCACCCTACCCTAAAGATTTTTGAGCAAATTTTCATGCACTTTCCCAGTGTGGTTGATTCTCATTTGATTACTCAATAGGGTATCAGTAAGATAATTATATTTTGAGGTTTTAAAAATTAATTTTTTAAAAAAGTTTTATTTATAGTCAGGCATGGTTGTGCACGCCTGTAGTTCCAGCACTTGGGAGGCAGAGGGAGGTGGATATCTGTGAGTTCAAGGCCAGCCTGGTCTACATAGCTCCAGGACAGCTGGGGCTACAGAGAGACCCTGCTTCAAAAAGACCAAAAAAAAAAAAATTCTATTTATTACTTTTATTTTGTATGTATGAGTATTGCCTGCATGTTTGTAAGTGCACCTGTGTCCTGCAGTGTCCGTGGAAGTCAGGAGAAGGCGCAGGTCCCCTGCAACTGGAGTTATGAATGATTATCAGCTGCCATGTGGGTGCTGGAAATCGAACATGGGTTGTTGCAAGAATAGTTAGTGCTCTTAACCACTGAGCCATCTCCCCAGCCCCCAAAAGTTAATTTATTAAATTGTGTGTCTGTGTATGTATGGGGTTGTACATCTTCATGTAGCATCCAAGGAGGCCAGATGAGGATATCAAATCATCAGGGCCTGGAATTACAGGCGGTTGTGAGCTGCCAATAGGGGTGCTGGAAGCCAAACCCAGGTCCTTTGCAAGAACAGTATGGCTCTTAATTGCTGAACCATCTCTCCAGGTCACTATTGTTTTGTTTTGTTTTGGGGGGAGGGGGGTCTTTTGGAGACAGGGTCTTCCTGTAGTCCCCAGCTGTCCTGGAACTCACTTAAGTAGACGAGGCTGGCCTTGAACTCACAGAGATCCACCTGCCTCTGCCTCTGGCATGTTGGGATTAAAGGTGTGCACCACCACGCCCCACAGGTCACTATTCTTTTAAAAGATTTATTTTTGTGTGTATTGAGTGTATTGTCTGCATATATGTAAGTGTACCCATGTTGTACAATGCCCACAGAGGTCAGTCAAGGACATTGGATTCCTTTGAAACGGAGTTATGGATGGTTGTTAGCTGCCATGTGGATGCTGAGAATTGAACCCGTCTTCTGCAAGAGCAACTAGTGCTCTTTAACTGCTGAGTCATCTCTCCAGGCCCCTACTTCCTTTTAACCAAATGAAATTTATTTGAACCCCTCATGGTGAAAGTTTTAAAATATCTTCTACTTTAGGATGCACATTCACAAGGTGAGGTGGTATCATGCTTGGAGAAAGGTCTGGTGAAGGAAGCAGAAGAAAAAGAGCCCAAAGTTCAAGTCTCTGAACTCTGCAAGAAAGCCATTCTCCGGGTGGCTGAGCTGTCCTCGGATGACTTTCATTTAGACCGGCATTTGTACTTCGCTTGCCGAGATGATCGGGAGCGTTTTTGTGAAAATGTGAGTCAATTAAGAAGCTGTTCTTCTTTTCTTCCTCTTCTTTTTAAATATCTGTAATGCTGTATTTCAAAATAAAATAAGCTGTCACAAACCTGCAATGCAGAAGAGCCATTGAAGGAGAAGATAGAATTTTTCCCAAAATAAAAAATAGTATTGGATGCTCAGTCTTGAAGAATTAACATCTAGTTAACAGTTTGCTTCTGACAGTCTGTGCACATTATTTTTTCTCTCGCCTTTCAATTTCAGTTCTTGGAAGTCTGTTTTATCTATTGGAATCTTATCAGGAAATTCTGTTCATATCTGTTCTTTGGCTAAAACTGATAGACTTATTTGTATGGTTTTGATTAAGGCAAACAAAATTGGTATCTAACTTTTAAAAAGTCCTTGGCTATTACATGCTGATCCATTGACAACTCTATCTCTCTTTTCTCCTCTCCTGCCCTTTCCCCTCTCCCCTCTTTAGTGCTGGGGGTTGAGTGCAATACTTCGTCCATGCTAGTCTCCTAGACTGCACCTACTTTTCCACTGAGCTGTACCCTCAACCTTTGTTTTGGCACAACAAAGAACTGAGAGTGACTTTCATGCCCTTCCTTTTTGCCTGCTCTTTTGGATTAATAGCATCAACTGTCAGAGCCACTGATTATAAGTCTTTCTGCCTAGCATCAAATTGTGAGAAAGGAGACTCACTCTTGACATGCCCTTGAGTTCTCTAATTATTAGTGTATTTTTAATAGAAAGTTCGACATGAGATTGGATTATTAACAGTATAACTGCTTAGCTAATAACAGTATGTCTGTTCTGTCTTACAGACTCAAGCTGGTGAAGGAAGAGTATATAAATGCCTTTTTAATCATAAATTTGAAGAATCCATGAGTGAAAAGGTAGTACTTTAAAGTGAGCTAATGTCTTACTAATTTCTTAAACTTGTCATAATCCTTTTCTTGGTTTTGAGTGGTTGTTCTTCTTCCTTCCCTCCCTCTCTCCCTCCCTTCCTTTCTTTTTTGAGGCCAGGTCTCACTATGAAGACTTGGCTGGCCTGAGCTCTGGCTCCTATGTAGATCAGGCTTCCCCAGGCCTCTGCCTCCTAAATCCTGGGATTGAAGGCATTTGTTATTATGCTCTACCTGGGTGATTGTTCCTGAAACAGGGTCTCATAACTCAGAGTGGCCTCAGACTCAATAGATAGCCAAGGATGACCTTGAACTCCTGCTCCTCTCACCTCTACATCCCAGCTGCTGGGCTTAGCATGTGCTACCACTTCTGCCACCCTTCGTTATACTGCTAACTTGTGGAATCCACAGAAGGCTGTTTCTAAAGATAGTTTCCATATGCTCGGTTGCCAAATTAGATGGTCAAGTTTCTTATGTAAAATGGTATAGTGTTTGTATGTCACCTATGCACGTTCTCCTGTGAACTTTAAACCACATCTAGATTACTTATATTTCATACAGTGTAAATGAGATGTAGATAGCTGCTACATGATACTGTTTAGGTAATCATGACCAGAAATCATCTGTATATATTTAGTACAACACAATTTTCTTTTCCCCAAATATTTTCAGTCTGTGGATTCATAGGACTGACTATGCCAACATATGAATGACTAATAAAACATTGCCTTTCCAGAGGTGAGACACTTGTATTTAAGTAGATAATCAAAGCATATTTGGGCACCTGGTGTGGTGACACATTCCTGTAATGCCTTGCCTCAGGAGGCTAAGGTAGGAGAACCTAAAGTTCCAGGCCAGTCTGCAAGCAAGGACTGTAAGATGTCTCAACGGGTAAAGGCACTTGCCACCTTCCTAACAACCTGAGTTTAAGAACCCACATGAGCTGGGTGTGGTGGTACACGCCATTAGTCCCAGCACTTGATAGGCAGAGGCAGGGGAATCTCTGAGTTTGAGGCCAGCCTGGTCTACATAGTGAGTCCAGGCCAACTGGGACTACAGGGAAACTTGTCCCCATAAAGACCGAACAACAACAGAAAACCCACATGATAGAGTGAGGAGAGAACAGACCCCCTGTGAGTTGTCTTCGGACCTTCCACATACGTGTTCTGGTACAACTACAGACACCTATAAGTAGACAATGAGAAGTCATTTGGGAGTAACATTGGAGAAATTGTTTTGATCAGAATCACACTGAGGCCAGCTCTGTGTACTCAGCTGTGTAGGCTAGCTATAACAATGTCCTTCACAGGTTGCTAGCTGCTTAATTTTTCCCCCGTAGTGTCAAAATACACAGCATTGCCTCATTGAATGCTCTTATTACTGCTAGTCCTGTCCTGTCCCCAGATAGATAGAAGAGTCTTTGAATCATGTTGAAAAGTAACTAGTTTGCTAATTTTTACCTTCTTATGCAGCTGAAGAAAGGTTCCTTGTTTAGGCTTCCTTATGTTTACTGTTTACTGCCTTGTGATCAGTAACTTGTATACAATGAACATGTAAATGTAATGTCAGTTGTTATTTGGTTATTGTGGAATTTATATTAGGAATATGGTTGAAGAGGAAAATACTGTGTCAAGTTAATGTGTTAGCATCCACCAAACATTTGTGTAATGCTCTTATAGTGACAGTTACCAGTTTACTACGAAATTTTCACCAGTTAACTCTTTCCAGATTAGGGCCAGATATTTTTTGAGGGGAGGTTGTCTTTTTTTTGAGACAGGGTCTCCCTGTAGCCCCAGCTGGCCTGGAACTGGCTGTGTAGACCAGGCGGTGGCCTTGAACTCACAGATATCCACCTGCATCTGCCTCCAGAGTACTGAAGTTAAAGGTGAGCACCATCATACCAGGCTACTAGTGCCAGATTTAACCAACCTTCCAGATAGGCATTTTAATAAAAATGTAGTTGTTGACAATCTTGGTCTTGAGTTTTAGCGACTCAGACAGCTGAGTCACGAGAGTTCTTATTCTTTCTTTTCCCTCAGTGTAGAGAAGCCCTAACCACCCGTCAAAAGCTCATTGCCCAGGATTATAAAGTCAGTTATTCATTGGCCAAATCCTGTAAGAGTGACTTGAAGAAATACCGGTGCAATGTGGAAAACCTTCCTCGGTCCCGGGAAGCCAGGCTCTCCTACCTTCTAATGTGCTTGGAGTCAGCTGTGCACAGAGGTGATGCTTCATTTCCTTTCATCTCTTTTGTTTCCAGTTCACATTCTAAAGCTCCTTGTACCTCTCCTTGGTACTTTCCTCTTCTATTTGTTTCACTGACTTTAATGATTAGAATGCTTGCTGTAGCGTTTGTTTAGAAGAGTGGACTAACTGTAGCATATGAGTTTCAAGTCAGAGAGATTTGACTTCAGATTATGGCTATCACTAAACAAACTGGCTAGGTAACTTTTTTTATGTTTTTGATGGGCAGGGAGTGAAGGAAGTTGTTTTTTGTTTTGTTTTTAAACTTTTCCCTATTGACATTTATAACTGAAAGACATGGGAACACTATCATAAACACTTAAAAGGTACTCTTTCCACAAACTTTAACTGTTTAAGAAATAGAGATTTTTCTCCTAGGTTTCATTTTTATCCTCAAAAGTTTTCTTATACTGCCAAGATGTCTGGGGCTGGGGATACAGCCCAGTGGCCAAGAGCAACACAGTATGAATGAGGCCCTGGGTTCAGTCTCCCACATTAAAGGAAAAAAGAAAGGAAAAAACTTGCAATGCAAAGCATTTACATTGTTAGTTTATAAGGTCTGTGTAATACATAACCCTGCAGGATAAACCTGGGTCTTTGTAGTCTAAGCTTGCTTTATGCTCTTAAAACTTTTGCTGAGGGCTGGAAACATAGCTCAGCAATTAAGAACACCGACTGTTCTTGCAGAGGACCCAGGTTCAAATCCCAGCACCCACATGGCAGCCAACAGCTGCCTATAACTCCAGTTCCAGGGGGATCTGACAGCCTCTTTTGTCCTCTGCCAGCATTGCATGACATGGGTGCACTTACTTACATATAGGCGTAACACTCATACACATAAAAATAATAGCTGGGTGTGTTGGTGCATGCCTTTAATCCCAGCACTCCAGAGGCAGAGGCAGGCAGATCTCTGTGAGTTCGAGGCCAGCCTGGTCTACAAAGTGAGTTCTAGGCCACCTGGGGCTACAGAGAGACCCTGTCTCAAAAGACCAAAAATAAATAAATAAAATATTTTTAAAAACCAAACTTTTGCTGAGTTCTGGGTCTGGAGAGGTGGCTCAGCAGTCAAGAGCATTGATTGCTCTTGCAGAGGACCCAGGTTCAAGTCTCAGCACCCACGTGGCAGCTAACAACTGTCTGCAACTTCAATCCCAGGGGATCCAACACCCTCTTCTGACTTTCGAGGGCGTTGCACAACAAGGGTGCACTCACATATGTGCAGGAAATACACTCATACACTAAAATAAAAATTAAAGAAAAAATCAAGGGGGTTGGAGAGATGGCTCAGCGGTTAATAGCACTGACCGCTCTTGCAGAGGAGACCCGGCTTCGATTCCCAGCACCCACATGGTGGCTACGAACTGTCCTTAACTCCAGTTCCAGGGGAATCCGAAGCCCTCTTCTGACCTCTGCAGCATTGGATGACACAGGTGTATTCACATACATGCAGGCAATACACTCATACACAGAAAATAAAAATAATAAAATATTTAAAAAGAAAAAACCAAAACAACCTTTTGCTGAGTCCTAAACGTTTCAGTCAGATGCTAGTATGAATGGCATATTCTGTTCCAAACAGAGATGTGTGCTTCTAATGTGTTGTGATTTCTGATCCTCAAGCTCATCATAACTATGGTTTACTGACACCCCAACTTAGGGCGACAAGTGAGCAGCGAGTGCCAAGGGGAGATGTTAGACTACCGACGCATGCTGATGGAAGATTTCTCTTTGAGCCCTGAGATCATCCTCAGCTGTCGTGGGGAGATTGAACACCACTGTTCTGGATTACATCGGAAAGGGCGAACCCTCCACTGTCTAATGAAAGTAGTTCGGGGTGAGAAAGGGAACCTTGGCATGAACTGCCAGCAGGCGGTAAGGAAAAATTTTTTCTACTGTCACCTTGGCTGTCACCTTATAGTAGCCAAGGAGCCTCATCTTGATACTTCTTGATTTCTCTGGATCATTTCTGGCATCACAGTGAGTGGCAGGTACTGTGGGCATATTTGAATAAGGATTTGGAAGTTGCTGCAGAACAAGGCTTGAGCTCATAACCAATACAAAGAGCAGTTAGAAAGAAAATGCATTGTCTTCTGTAGTTTCCAAAGAATAACTTGACAAAATGAATTACTGAACTCAGAATAAAGGCAAATCAGGTTCTGATAATCAAGAAAGAGATTGTTCACTAAAAGAGAATTTGCCTATCTTTATTAGGTTTGATTGAGGTGGAGGTAAGGGTCGACATGAATGGAAAATTTCTGGCCGTTTTTCTTTTTTACTGATATGTAGCAAGCCTGAAGGAGCAAAAAAGTCTGTCCTTTTAGACTCACACCATCATTTCTTTTTTTTTTTTTTTTTTTTTTTTTTTTTTTTTTTTTTTTTTCTCCCTGTAGCCCCAGTGGTTTTGAGGCAGGGTCTCCCTGTAGCTCCAGCTGGCCTGGAACTCGCTTTGTATATGAAGCTGCGTTTAAACTCACAGAGATCCACCTGCCTCTGCCTCCCAAGTGCTGGGATTAAAGTGTGTGCCACCACACCCAGCTAGGGAATCACACCATTTTTTATGAGCTCTAAACTTTCAGCTAAGGATGTAAAGGGTTGGAAGTATTGGTACCTTTTACTTAAGAAAGTAATTTATTCTTAATCCAATATTTATAAGCAGTTGTATAACTGCACTTCATAATATAATATTATAGATACAATGCATCTGTTTCATTGCCTTTGTCCATGTTTGTTCCTTTTTTTTTTTGTCTTTTTGAGACATGGTCTCCCTATAGCCCCAGCTGTCCTGGAACTCACTATGTAGACCAGGCTGGCCTTGAACTCACAGAAGTGAGCCTGTCTGATTAAAGGTGTGTGTCACTATGCCTGGCTGCTGTTGGAATTTTTATTAAAACCTGAATATTACTTGAATTTTGTTTTCTAGCTAGTCATGTAAAATCAGAATTTTATAGTCTGAAACTCAAGTTTATATAAGCTTTGAAAATGGATTCAATTCTCACCTTAGCTTCTGTTACTCACCCCAACCCAGAATGGACAGTAATGTTCATCTCATGATGGGAAGAATAGACAAATGTAGGCTCTTAAACAGTAAACTCAGCTAGAAGAAAGGCTTCTGGAATCCACTGTGGTTTGAGTTTGTTGCAGTATAGCTCCTCTGGAGCAGTCCTTGATGACAATTGCCCTAGGAAATCTCTGTGCCAGTGAATGTGCCTGGCCCCAGTCCTGGAATGAATCAGGAGACAGCCAGTGTTGTATTTGCTTTCCATCCTTAATTCTACCCAAAAAGGCTGTGGAGAAGCAGAAAAAAAAAATCTTTCCACTCAGCCTCTACCTGTCATAAAGTGTTCAAAAAAAGGAAAATAGGCTGGCTCAGTGTCCTTCTGAGGCATGTAGCTCACTCTTCAGGCTTTATGAAAGTTAGCCTTTTGAAAGAACTAGTGACTCAGTTTGAAAGAGAAAGAAGTGCCACCCACATCGCCCTTTGTGCCCAGAAGAAAGTGCTTTTCAAAATCAGAGGGTAGCCATAAATAGTGAACTGTGTGGTTTTGACTGCATTAAGACTAGCTGACTAGGAAAGAAACACTTTTTATTTTTATGGACCTGTGGTTTTGTTTTTGTTTTTAACTTTTTCTTACCCAAACTAAAGGCATTTCTCCAAAGGGAGGAAACCTTCCTTAGTCTTCTACATTAGCCATCCTCAGTCAGATTGAGGAATGCTCTGAAGCAATATGGGTAGGTTTCCTTCCTTTTCAACGTTTCCTTCCTTGTCACGACAGATTTCAGTACCTGGAGTGACCATTAGCTTTTCTTCATCTCTGCTTGGATCGATTTAGTGATCAACTGATATTTCTCAACAAGTACTGAGCTAAAAAGCATAAGGACAATTACCATCTTGATGTGTACAAAATAATTCGTCCAAATTTACCATAATCCCTATTTTTTTTTTTTAAATGTGTATGCATGTATTGCCTGCATGTAGGTAAATGCGCCCGTGTCATGCAATGCCCTCGGAGGTCAGAAGAGGCTGTCAGATCGCCTGGGACTGGAGTTACAGACAGTTGTTAGCTGCCATGTGGGTGCTGGGGTTTGAACCTGGGTCTTCTGCAAGAACAACCAGTGTTCTTAATCTCTGAGCCATCTCTCCAGTCCCCACAATCCCTGAGTATTAAATTCACTTGGCTTATAGGCTGAGGAAGTTGAACTCATGCTTTCCCATGCCAGAGATGACTGCCCGGTCTAGTTTATTCTCCAGGCTAATCATTTTTCCAAAACGTTCCCAGATTTTTCTTCATAGGTCAGGGGTCAGAATATATGTACACTCACATAGCAGTTCATATTTTAATTGTCTATTTCTCACATTTCATCACTGAATTCTAGAGTGCCAATGATCCCTTGAGTTGTTAGCCTCCTAGGCTTTATAGGACATTTCATTTCTTCCCCTTTAACTACTAGCTGCAATTTATTAAGAGTTCTCAAATTGGGGCTAGAGAGATGTCTCAGTGGTTAAAAGCACTTGCTGATCTTCTAGAACCTACATGACCATTCATAACTGCTTGTAATTTTAGCTCCAGGGTATGCAACATCCTCTCTGGATTCTGTGGGCACCTGCACACATGACACATACTCACATAGACACATACATACACATGAAAATAATAACATAAAATATTTTTAAAAAGAGTTCTCAGATGGGGTGTGGTGGCACATGCCTTTAATCCCAGTACTTGGATGGCAGAGGTAGGCAAATCTCTGAGTTTTAGACCAGCCTGATCTACATAGCAAGTTCTAGGCCAGCTTGGGCTTCAGGGAGACCCTGTCTCAAAAAGAGTTCTTAAATTTTGCCTGTGGGTCATAGATATTTGATGGACAGAATTCTTGCAAAAACTTTAGTCTCTACACAGCTTCTGACTTCTCTTAGAAAAAAGATGTCAGTATCTTGATCTTGGTCAATATATATCATAAGTGAAGTTGTTTATCACTCTACTTAAATAAGGAGTCTTCTACCAGCTAGCCACAGTATTTTTTAGCTTCTCCAAATCACCACCAAGAATTTGTATAATTTCCATCCCAAAGTATTGAAAATCTTTCATATTTCTTTTTAAATTTTTTTTTATTTTTATGTGTATGAGTGTTTGACTTGTACGTATATAAGTACACCACAAGGACAAAGAGGGCACCAGATCTCTTAGAACTGGAGTTACTGGCGGTTGTTAGTGCCTTTGAGGGTACTGGGAACCAAACCCAGTTCCTTTGCAGAAGTGGCCTGTGCTCTTTTGTGTTGGGCCATTGCTCAAGCCTCCATATTTCTCCCTTTTAGGATAATACACTTGGGATTTTTCTTTATTTCCTTTCATCTGCAGTTTCTGATAAGTATGTGAAGGGACCAGGTCCTTCTTGTGAGTCCCTGTGGGATCATAGTTCAGATGTGTGCAGATCAGAGAAAACTCCTTAGAAAGGATTAAACCAGAGACACAAAGTGTTCAAATTCGTTAATTTGGGCAAAAAAAAAGAACCCATTAATGGCTATAATTTAAATTTTTTTCTCACCCACAACACCATCTGCTATCCATCTGTAGTAATAATGATCTTTTAGGTCTATAAAATGCTTTGCAATTTACCTAATCTTTTTCCGTGTAGTATTTATTTCTTAAAATTTGTAGTTTAAAAAAAAATACAAGACCTTCAGACTTAGAGGCTAATTAACTTGTCCATCCTTTAAAGCTAATATTACACAGAACCAGAACCATACTTGAACTTAGGATCTCTGATCCTTAATTTCATCTGTGCCTCATTTTGAGGCACCTGTTTTGCTGCCTTTATTTTGTGATAAAGGATGGGCCAAGCAAAAGCAGGTGATGGAGAGGGTACTCTCAGTCCCAGATGCAAAGGAACAAGCATTTTTCTAGTAAACTCATAATGAACAAACTTTGATTTACTTCTTGGTTGTATAAAATAGTTGATGAAAAATAAGAAAGTATGCATATTCTTGTTTTCTAATTGTACCTGTAATTTAAATGAAATCTTGCGAATTTTTCTTTAACAAAACAGTAAACTTCTTACAATGCTGATGTTGTTGCATCAGAATTCATAGTCTTGTTAGGACACAATTGGTCTCTG